TTTTTAAAAGTAAAAATTATATCGCGTTATAAAAATTTTACATGTTTGTTAATAGTGTCCAATATTCAAAAAAATGTATTTTTAAAAGTTATGTTATTCAAAATATTCAAGAAAACCTAGCTTACAAGTAAAATTTATCATTCTTTATTAGAACACTGAGTTATATGGTAATTTTACTTGTTATTGTAACAAATTAATTATTATAACAATGCGATAAAAAATATTTAATACAAAAAATCTTGGCGCGGCTGCATCAAAAACTATCGAACTAAAACTTGATTAATACATACATGACAGCATTTTTATTATAATAAAATGTTCTTGTAAATTCTCTTTATACATATACGGCATAATGTTCTATTTAAGTTTATATAGTATTATAATAAATAAATTATAAACCTTCATTATAGAATATATTATAATAAAAATGGTGTCATGTATTAAACAAGTTTTAGTTCGATATAGTTTTTGGTGCAGCCGCGCCAAGATTTTATGTATTAAATATTTTTTATTGCATTGTTATAATAATTAATTTGTTACAATAACAAGTAAAATAACCATATAATATATAATATATAATATATAATATATATAACCATATAACCATATAACTCAATCTTCTAATAAATAATGATAAATTTTACTTGTAAAAATTTATGTTATTTTATTAAAAAATTTTTCGAACGAAAGTTGCATGGCTTGAAGGACGACACATAACGGAAATGTGGACTTGACCTTGAGTGAAGTGACCTTGTCAAAATCAGGCCAAGGTCATTAATGTTTTTTTAAATAGAAACTACGATTTTTTATTACATATTCTTGTAGCTTATCTCGAGAGCATTCCAAAACACTCTAACAAAGTTACATTTCATCGAGTACTTTCCGAGTTATGAGGCTTGGAACTTAAGGCAAGACCGATCACTGATCCGACCAATTAAGGCAAGATCAATTCGAATATGTCTTTAGCCGTTAATAAGTCTTGGCCTTAGAAGTACGAAATAAAATCTCCTTGCTTTTATTACAATATCCTGTAAGTTAGCAAATATTCTTCACACATACAAACATAGTATTATTATATTTTTATTGAGTAGTGCATTGAACAACTATAACATTGTTCTGAGAGTTTTCTCATTTAGGGCAACGAAACAAATATATTTTATGAATTTTTTTTGCGCAGATAGAAAATTTCACGGTATTCACGGTTCATGTAATTGTTTTTGGAGATTATTTAATACTGTATGAAAAATATTTATTAACTTACAGGATATTGTAATAAAAGCAAAGAGGTTTCATTTCGTACTTCTTGATTCTGTTACAATATTCTTTTATATTTCATACTACATCCTTGTATAACTTAAAATTATTCTTAAAATATTATTAAACAATTCAATAATCAAACCTGTGAACCTGCCCGACTCCGCAAAATAATTAATAAAATATATTTCATTTTCTTGGCGCCGAATATTATTAATACTATTACAAATAATATTACGAATGATATAAATTTTTACAAATAAAATTTGTAAAAATTTGTATTATTTGTAACCTTATTATACAATTACAAATAAAATTACAAATAATAATATTACAAATAATATATATTACAAATAATAATATTATTAAATAATAAAATATTATTTGTAATAATTTCAGTGCGCCGAGTAGACAAAACTTTTCAGTATTGTCATAGAGAGGAAAGGAGAGAGAGACAGTCGCGCCCGCGATTCAGATTATGGGTAAGAAAGAATTAGGCTCGCTCGCTGAGCGAGAACGAGGGCTCGAGAGCGACAAGGAGGGAATGATATTCTCACTCTCTCTCTCGCTCGCTCGGCGCGTCGACAATTGCCGATCGCGTGGCTCACACGGATTGACCGAGCTGACTGTGTACATATATGGAGGGGGGGAGGAGAATCCTCGTGCAAGCCCGTCACCAAATTCGCATCACTGATACCAATGATGTCAAAACCGAACAAGCTGCGGACAAGCTGCGGACAAGCGTAACTTGTAAATACCGGAGATCAATTGTTTATCAGCTCATAGACAATTAATATGACGAGATACCCGCGGAGACCCGTGTACTTCTCTTTCGTCTTTGCGTACAATTGCGATCAATAAAAAATTTTCACGAATTGTTCGGTTTTGACATCATTGGTATACGTGTGTATATGTGTGTGTATGTGTACAATTGCGTACACGTACAATTGCGATATACACTTATCACGTTAGCACTGATCATTTTTATTCATGCTAAAAGAAATAAGTATGATTATGTAAAGAATTTGTCTGCGTATTATTATACATTCTACACAGTTCTCCCTGTGATAGCAAAAATAACACACTTGGACAATTTCTACGCTCATATCACAAAGCCTGATCCACTGCGCTACTAAAGCAAATTGGTAATTCTTCTGCTATAACGACATTAACAGAAAAGACTAAACTTCAAACTGCATTTCTCAAAAACGTTTAAGATTTGCACCGTTTTTGGATAGCATTTGTTACTATTACATCAATATTATACTTTTCTAAAAGCAAAATCGCGCGGTGATTTCAAGGATGAAGATTCCTCTTGTGTGAGATATTAATTATTCATTCTTTGTTAATGGGAAAAGATTTTCCTTTGGTTTAAATGTTCAAGAATAGTTATTTGTTCTCTGAGAATCTTTCAATTTTTATGATCGTGAAAAGTTTATAAAATTCGTAAAGAAAAAAATTATTTTACTACCTACCTGTTCAAGAGTTGCGCATAAGAGATATTTTAACAAATCTGAATCTGAATCAGTCAACAAATTAAATTTTTCATTCAAAGAAGCATATGTAGGGTAAGCATAAGTAAGATAAGTATAAATAATAAATTAAATATTATTCTCTGAATATAATAATAAATAAATGTTTTTTTTCTTTAGCTGAATCATCGAAGTAAATATTCTATTATAAATTGACTTTTCGGATTACAATATTATTTGATATTATTTGATAATTTGATTTTTCAGAGTACGCTTTAAAATTGACTCTTCGAAATACGCTATTAAATTGACTTTTCGGAGTACACTTTTGAATTGACTCTTCTGACTACACATTTGTTAGTTGACTCTGTGGAGTACATATTTTTTAATTAACTCTTCGGAGAGAGGAGAAGAGAAACATTTTATATTTTATTTAAAAAATCGTAATTTTTGCAGAAAACTGATTGATGAAGAAAAAAATTAATTCACGACCTCAACGAAGATCTTAAAAAAATTACTGCAAGAAATGAAGTTGTTGTTATTATATACTATATTGTACAATATTAAAACATACGCGCAATAATTATCTATAATTTGCATATATGGGCGTTTATGTAATTATAAGTAATATAAAAGTCATGACAAATTAATGTGGCCGCGTGTTATCTCTGTCGCGTCATTGCTAGAAATCGTCCGAACTCTCGAAATTATTTTCTTCCCGAATTATGAATATAAAACAATGTGGAAAGGAAAATAAGGGGGTGAAAGGGGAGACGGCGACGTCTGCCTTACGATAACATCGCTGCTGGCTCGCTTCGTCGCGATTGTCTATTCGCTGGTGGTGAGACAAAGACCGATTCTTCGTTTTTATCTAACTAATCTAGCTCGCTCGTGAACATTGTATTTTCTATACAAAGTTCCGGTTTCATATTTACATACCTGGTATTTTATCATATTTTTATTTTTATGAACTTCTTAGAAATGATTTCTTCATATTTCATATTTCATATGAACCATATAAATTATATTGTTGCTTTTTTATTATACAGGATAATCCGAAACAATCTCTTGTCCTTAATATACAATATTCTTAAACAAATTCTAAGACTATTTTTCCTCTTGCAAAATGTTATCTGATGCTTAGTTACTAAGTTATTAAGATAAATAATTTGCCTATTACGAGCAAGATATAGAAGTCAAGCAGGGACAATTGACGTTGAGCGCTTGGTACAATGTGCTGATCGACGCATATGATAATATCCATATACATTATTTTTAAAACTTCAAAGTTTTGACAGTCACGGATGTAATAACAAATTTAGTATTATAAATTTCGTAGGATAATATTATAACGTAACGTTTTAGAATATTCGGTATTATGCGAAACCGATTGGTGAGATATGTAAATGAGACCGATTGGAAAATTGTAAGACAGGCAACGAATCATCCGACTTATTGTAAGACGCAAACAAATGCATTTTGAACCTCTGTTCTCTTTAATCTTACCTGCTATGAGAAGAAAGGAATGTCCATAATTCGTGATCAAATCGAGCATAAAATTAAAAATAAAACTCGTTAATCTTAAGAAAACGGATGCGTTAATAAGTCATAAAAACTGTTAAACTCAAGATAAGCAATCCTTACAAAGAATATAAATTCGTAGACTCACTTAAAAGCAAGAATATTTTATGGCTTCTAAATATAATTAACACTCTGTTCTTCTCATTCATATTTTTATAGTTTATGTCGCAATTAAAAAAAGCTCGCGTAATACCGAATATTTTATTCTCAAACGTTATAATATTATATCCTATTAATTTATATTATATTTGCTATTACATCGGTAATTGTTAAAATTGTGAAATTTTAAAAATATGTATGAATCTTATCATATGCGTCGATCAAGCGCCCTACATTAGTGTCTACGCGGCGCGCACGCGAATGGTCAATTGTTCCGTCCCTGACTGCCTTCTATATTCGGCCCGTAATAGACGAACTATTTATCTTAATAACTTAGTAAGCATCGGATAACATTTTGCAAGAGGAAAAATAGTTTTAGAATTTATTCAAAAATATGATATATTAAAAACAAGAAATTGTTCCGGATCACCCTGTATACTATTAAATATTATTACATCTTTCCATTCAATTATTGAAATAAATTTAGTTCTATCATTTTTAATTTACTTAGTCCATAAAGATTTATGAAACGTGACAATAGAGGCTATAATTTCTGAATTTAAACGTACCTCTCTTCTCTCTGGATTTACATACCTTTCTTCTTCAGTATCATCGAACTCGGAACTACTGTCATCGTAGTCATCCAAATTACCAAAGACACTGGCTCTTGAACCATCTTGCACGCTTATTCGTGACATAATTATGAGTTGCACGACATATAGAAATTGATGTATACCTACGTCGTACCTGCCTGCGATACTAACAATGGAACGCGTCACGACGATCGACCAAGACCATCATCGATAAGGCAAGATAAGATTTGTAATTCAGAGCAATTCGGTAAATGGACTATCGATATATTTCCGCATATACTGGTCATTTAGATAGCATATTTTTGTATGCTACAGAATACAAGTGAGTCAGTAGACAGATAGAATAAAATAAACACTGTATATAACATAAATTCTTAAATTGATAAGAAAGATCAGACAAGCAGGACAAATTAGAATTCACATTGAAAGGGAATATAGATTAGTTTAAAACAAATTGACAATTAAAAGATTATTGATATTTGTTTGACTGATTTATCTATGAATATCTTTTAGAAATATACCTTTACAAGCTTTAAAGACCTGCTTTTCATACATTCTGTAACTCGATATAGCATTACTTGTATTACTCTGAAGAGCTCCTATGTAGTTGGTACATTTTTTTACTTTTTAATGTTTCATTTCATACATATATATATATATATATATATATATATATATATATATATATTATACAAATTTACATACTGCAAAGAAATCACCAATATTGAAATATCATAGAAGTACATTTCATAAAATTATAATCTTTATTTAATCTTTCACAACATGTTTTAATCAAATAACTGACGTTTCTTCTATATCATATAAAATAAAATCAAGAACTTTCATTGCTTTTCCTATTATAGTAAATAAGGAATGACGTTTGAATTAAGCTTTACATAGTTGAACTCAAAACTAAATTATAAGAAAATAATATGTTTTATAGAATACCATATAATATATTATATAATATTTCTAATATAACCTCCATTTCTTTCAACTTCCTGATTATTTTTGATATATTTACTGTGCCTTTGTAATACCAATGACACCACAAGCAAGACGAGCACCAGCATTGCCAGTAGTCTTTGAAAGTTCATGACCACCTTGACCCAAATCATCAGGATCAGCATGAACCTAATTAAAGAAGATAAGATTAGTATTTAATAGAAGATAAATTTTCTTATAATTAGAACATAATTGATACGAAATCAGATGTAAAATTATAAGAAGCAATAAATAAGATTTTATTTTATTGCAACAAAAGAATAAGACAAATTTAATATATACCACAAGAGTTCGTCCAATAATACTATGTGGTCCACACAATTGTATTATGGAATCAGTAATGTTAACTTTAGCAACACCATTGGCATCAGCCTCCACATTTCCTAAGTCTCCAACATGACGCACAGCATGGCTTGGACCACCATGTTCTTTTCCCAATGGATTGAAATGAGCACCTGCACTTGTACAACCTACAAAAAAGATAAGAATATTCTTTTATAAAAGGAATTGTATACTTTTATCTAAAGGATGTTTAATTTGATGTAAAATGATTAATGTTGCAAATTAGAAAGCTATAATAAAAGAAAAAGTGAATTAACTTGTTATTAAAGAATCTCCAATTAACAGAAACATATTACAAAGTCATCATATTTAAATTTCCCTGTCATTCCTACTCACTATCATCAAATAAACAGATATCACATATACTCTTATATGTATTTCAACTGACCTTTCTTTGATTTTATAGAGGACAAAAATAATCTATGAATGTAACTAATTTGAAAAGATATATAAATTCAATAAATATATTCCACAAATAAATAAAATATAAATTTATAGATTTAAAAACTGTTACAATAAGCAATTTCAATTTTAAGATATTCATTTTAAGATTAAATTTAAGATATTTTGATATTATAAATCAATAATTTTTTATATAGAACTAAAAACTCAAAGATTAATAAATTTTATAATAATTCTAAATTCTAAATTATAAGACAAGAATAATATGTAGGCAGTCTGAAAAGTTCTCAACCTGACACATACATGACATTAGAAACTGTAATTGTATTGGAAAGTGGCATCCCTGATATAAACTCATGTAAAATTTTATTCAATCTGTCAAATCATTCGAGTAATAGCACCAGTTGAAAAAGCTGTGCAAGATGGGTGCTGTATTTGCTAACAATTGACCAAAAATGCATTCGAACGCATATTTCTCAAGCGTGTTTGGGTCATTTTAAGCAAAATAAAATGGGTTTCAAGCATCATTTCATAACTGTTGATGAAACTTGGATCCACCACTATACCAGAGCAAAAAGAACCTTCCGGAATCACATAATGATCACTTTAATGATAGTATTGAATTATTGAAAAAATGTTGGAATGTATTGAAGTTTTAAGAGATTATATTGAAAAATAAAACATATTTCACGGCAAAAAAAATTTTCTTTCATTGTTAGGCCGAGAACTTTTCAGACTGCCCTCATATAAGTGGTACAATTATGATATACTTGAATTATGTTTTTTTTTAAATATGTACCATTGGTATTATCACCAAATTCATGAACATGGAAACCATGCAAGCCTTTCTGCAAGCCAGAAACTTCTCCAGTCACTTTTACTGTATTTGAACCTTCCTGCAATGCAAATTAAGTATTTATTATATATAAATATTCCTTTTTCTAATCAAAGGTCAATAATTATTCTAAATTATTTAATTAAAACTGTTAATATAGTTATAAATCAGTTTAAAAATATGCAAATAAAACTATTGATGTATTTCGAATATTCTACATAAAACTTAGAAAAAAGAGACGTTATCTACATATGAAGCATTACAATTAGCAAATATGTCTCTAATTAATAATAACGCAATAAACTCGAGATTATAATTTCCGGTATAGTATAAAGTAATTCGGCGATGTAAAAACTTCGACATAATTTAACTGATTAACTTAATATCGAATTTATAATGATTATAAGGTTTACCGCTTGTTCGAAATATAAAGTTCCTTTAACAGGTTCACCCTGAAGGACACAGACTGCTTTGACCGTCATTTTGCGAGTATTACAGATAGCTCGGAACCAGCTGAATGAATCGTTTGCAACAGACTGCGATAAGTCTGGTTATGCAAGAATCAAAAAGATTATATTGCTGAATCACGGCCAATCAGAGTGGTAAGAAAAATGCTGACGCACTATGTAGAACTGGCTGATAAGTCGGCAAAATTTAAACGATGCAAAATAGCTGATAGAACAGTTCAGAAACTAAAGTCGTCCATTAAGCAGGGTCTAAAGGCCGTATCCCACTACAGGTTACGGACGGGTGAGATCATTGGCCGCGTTTAGCAGAACAAAGTGATCAAAGAGCGCTTAGTGATTATTGTCTGTGATTGGAGTATTCTTTTAGATTCTTTGTAGACCCAGAAGTATTTACCAATCAGAAGCAAGATTCAATGGAAAATCTAGTAATGTTGTCCAACTGTTGAGTCTGCTAAATGCAGCAATTGAATAAAGAATATAAAGCCAACGGCATACGGTGCTTGTTTTCGTGCTGGATTGCTTACTGGATGAAAATACTGCGTTCTGATTTGTACTTTTCCGAAAATGGATGGAAATGCACCAATCAGAACGCAGCATTTCATCCAGCTCCTTCCTTAAAGCCAGCGACACCGTGTGTCGCTGGCTTTAAGGAAGGAGCATTTGGTCAAAATACGTGGTGGAAAGTGTAAAGGACGTGACGTAATGATACTACACCAATTTTGACTATCGATATATCAGCGAATCGAGATAAGTTTGATGACGTCGTCATCGAGTAGTCGAGAAAACGACTTGACGTCTTTTGTAATAGAATGAATGGAATTTTTATAAATAGTCTTTTAGAATAAAAAAATGGTTAATTGTTGCTCGTGTGGTGCGATACAAAAAAAAGGATGTTTGGAAACATTCCATATGTGAGTATAGTTTATTCTATTGTTTAAGATTATTAAAATTATAAAAGGTAATTATTTAGAAGAGGCACACGGCCTCCAATTTTTCTAAAACTCACGTATTTTGTATATTTTGACATGTAAAAATCTAAAAGTAAAAATCGTCTTTCAGCTCTACAAAGTGATAATAAAATTATTAAAAATAAAAGTATGATAGGTTAGAAAATCTGTCATTTTAAGGTAAAGTTTGTTCGTTGCACTTTCAGAGTAGACTTTTAGAGTAGACTTTTAGAGTAGAGTTGCACTTACTGTATTAGTGTAACGCAGTGCAACAACTTAATGAAAATATTTAAATTAAGAATATTTATATAAATAATTTTTTCATATATCACCTTGCGTAAAGGCCTTTGCTAATCTTTGCAGAATTTTTCATTTTAGTACATGGTGGACTCATCGATTTAAAAGGTGAAGATTTAAAGATATATTCTTTTATAATCATTGTACACAAGATAGGATTTATTTTGAATTGTACATAAAATAACTCTAATAACTTCTAAATAATTACCTTGTAAAATTTTAATAATAATATACTTCAAAATATAACTCATAAAATATATAATTCTAAATTATGACTGATTAAAGTAGAATTTCGGAATATCTAATTTAGTTTTCCAAAGCAACCATTACAAAGGGAAAAGTGGATAAGTTTTGTTGGTAGAAGACTGCGAAGACTGCCAAACTGGCAGTCTTCGCAGAGGAGCACTTTATGTTCAAAACATTTCACAGTAAATTGCTTTGACAAATTTGGATAGATTACTAGATTGAAAAGTTTAGCTATTTCCACAATTAACATTTCGCATATGAAATATGTACGTAACCACATATTCTGACAAATAATTAGCGAAATATCATGAGTTAAATATTGAAAAAGTTATTCAGTTTTCCTTAAATATGTCACAAAATATTAATTAAATAAAATAATGTTTCAGACAAAAGTTGTTTAAATTAATTGGTAGGAAAAGACGTTGTAATAAAAAATTCGGGTATCCATTTATATTATAATGTACTTAACATAACTTTTTACAAGTAAAAATGATATAAAAATTTAACACGTTTATTAGTAGTGTCCAATACTTCATTTATCATTATTTATTACAACACTGAGTTATATGATTGTTTTACTTGTTATTATAATGTACTTAACATAACTTTTTACAAGTAAAAATGACTACATGTAAAATTTATTATAATAACTTTTTTAAACAAAAAGGTAAAAAAAGGCGCCAAGTACAAGCGCAACACATATTGTGCTATTTTTAGAAATTTCAAATTCAAATTACTTTTTTTGAAGTATGTATGTGTACATAACATAAGTTTTTAAAAGTAAAACTTATACAAAAAAAGTGATATATTAAAACAGTAGCGCCAACTGAGAAATCGTATACTTAATATTTTTAGAAATCTCAAATTCTAATTATTTCCTTTTCTTAAGATATATATTATGTACATAAGTTTTTACAAGTACAAATGATATCATGTTATAACAATTTTACACGTTTATTAATAGTGTCCAATATTTAATTTATCATTATTTATTATAACACTGAGTTATATGATTGTTTTACTTATTATAACACGTTATTATAACACTGATCAGTGTTATAATAAATAATGATAAATTAAATATTGGACACTACTAATAAGCGTGTAAAATTGTTATAACATGATATCATTTGTACTTGTAAAAACTTATGTTATGTACATAATATATATCTTAAAAAAAGGAAATAATTTGAATTTGAGATTTCTAAAAATATTAAGTATACGATTTCTCAGTTGGCGCTACTGTTTTAATATATCACTTTTTTGTATAAGTTTTACTTTTAAAAACTTATGTACACATACATACTTCAAAAAAAGTAATTTGAATTTGAAATTTCTAAAAATAGCACGATACGTGTTGCGCTTGTACTTGGCGCCTTTTTTTACCTTTTTGTTTAAAAAAGTTATTATAATAAATTTTACATGTAGTCATTTTTACTTGTAAAAAGTTATGTTAAGTACATTATAATAACAAGTAAAACAATCATATAACTCAGTGTTGTAATAAATAATGATAAATGAAGTATTGTACACTACTAATAAACATGTTAAATTTTTATATCATTTTTACTTGTAAAAAGTTATGTTAAGTACATTATAATATAAATGGGTACCCGAATTTTTTATTACAACGTCTTTTCCTACCAATTAATTTAAACAACTTTTGTCTGAAACATTATTTTATTTAACTAATATTTTGTGACATATTTAAGGAAAACTGAATAACTTTTTCAATATTTAACTCACGATATTTCGCTAATTATTTGTCAGAAGAAAAAATGGCACTAGATTTTTTTCCTCTATTTAGTCTCAAGAATATATTGTTCCAATATATATATTCTTCCAAAGAATATATTGTTCCATAGCGCCATGAATTTGGTTAATTTGATGATTTTGAAATTTCAAAAAATTAGCAAACAAAAGTCAAGCGCTATTGTAACAATATATTCTTGAGACTAAATAGAGCAAAAATTCTAGTACCACTTTTTCTTCTGACAAATAGTTAGCGAGATATCGTGAGTTAAATATTGAAAAAGTTATTAAATTTTCCTTAAATAAAATTAAAAAATGTTTCAGATAAAAGTTGTTCAAATTAATTGCTAGAAAAAGACGATATAATAGAAAATTGGGTTATCCATTTAAGACCAAGGTTAAATTCATAACGTCAGTAAATAGATCCTTTGAAGCCCTACAACTTTTGTCTGAAATATTTATCTCTAAAATGTTCTATTTCCGAAATAAAAGGGCTGTACGAGTGGTCTGAATCATTCTGTATATATAATAATTTATACGCGTATAATATATTAACACGTTTCCAATATTTATTATCTTGTACAGGAACTTAATACCTCGCCTGTAATAGAATTGGATATCTGAGGTATATAGTCATCGACAAGTTTCAAAGTCTGCAAAAAACAGTAAATACTATATAATAATAATATATAATATATAAGTGAATATTATAATCCGTAACCTTTGAATCTGCATCTGCTTCTGTATAATCAATTGCAGTAGTAAACATTACATTTATTTATTATTATCTAAAAATAAATACAATTCATTAATTATATTATAAAGATTCAATTAGTTTTAGTGTAATATAAATAAAATATACTAACATCAAAGCTGAATCTGTATCATTCAAAGGATCGTCAGATATATCCAATCCATTACTTGCATTTATTCCTATTTTCTCAGTCATAACATCTATTATTTCGACAACCTTATCGTGTGAAATACTGTAACATGCTTTAGCCTTAGAGAAATTTTTGTAATTATTAGTATCTAATATACAGTAACTAATGCATTAAAAACTTCGTTCTGTATGCCAGATCCAGGAATTACTCTATAAGAATAAGATTGTAAGTTAATTACATACAAATAATATTAATGAATAAACGCATAAAACCTATTTCAACTAAAAATATATTAAAAGTTAAATATAAAACTTTATATTAAAAAAAAATTATACTATCTTGATCGTCTTGTTTTCGGTAAGAATGTGAATATCCTCCATCGGTGGCAGATATCGTAGATACAAACTATATTATCTGTTATACAAGCAATTGGAAAATTGCCCAGATACAGCGCATGAAGAGGAAGAAGGGGCCGACGACCTTATCGAAATATATTTTTTTTATCTTTTATTTATTCTTAATATTCTTTCATATAATTAGTTTGTTGTAATTTGAATGTATTACAACTTTCATTTATATTACTTTAATCCATAACCTTTGAATCTGCATCTGCTTCTGTATAATCAATTGCAGTAGTAAACATAACATTTCTTGTATTATTATCTAAAAATAAATATAATTCATTAATTATATTGTAAAGATTATTATATTTGTTTTAGTGCAATATAAATAAAATATACTAACATATCAAAGCTGAATCTGTATCATTCAAAGGATCGTCAGATATATCCAATCCATTACTTGCATTTATTCTTATTTTCTCAGTCATAACATTTGTTGTTTCGACAACCTTATCGTGTGAAATATTATGACATGCTTTAACCTTAGAGAAATTTTTGTAATTATCTGATATACAGTAACTAATGCATTTAAATCTTCGTTCTATATGTCAGATCCAGGGATCTGATATACAGTAACTAATGCATTTAGAACTTCGTTCTATATGCCAGATCCAGGGATTACTCTATCTATTAATGACATACAAATAATATTAATGAATAAACACATAAAACCTATTTGAACTAAAAATATATGAAAAGTTAAGTTTAAAACTTTATATTAAAAGAATTATATTTACTTGATCATTTCGTTTTCGATGAGAATGCGAATATCCTCCATCGGTGGCAGATATTCGGCATCGTTCAACAACAAATGAAATGGTTCTCTTATGCCAAATATCTTAGTGATCAATCAATAAAAATTTAGCAGATCCGACGCACATTGTTAAAAAACTTGGACAAGTCAACTTTCAGTCGAAAATGTGAGCGCAGCATTGTGATATCTTTGAGGTTAGGAAGCTTCAAAACCGAAATGCACGATTTTCAAACCTTCGCTGTCGCTCATTGCTCGATGTAAACTGCCAACGTTGCAATCACGTTGCTCGTGTTCGACTCGAATTCACGTGCTGTATAATATAATATATAAAATAAATAAGCCAGCAATATTTTATTTTTATTTCACCTCCTGTTCTACCAATATTCTTCTCTCTCTTATTCCCTATCGCTTGCTTACTCGCACTCGCTGCTCTTTACTTCTTCAGCGTGCTCGTAACACCTCTGGTGTCGGAAAAACGAGAAGTACAAATCCCCTCTCCTCGGCGGTCTATTCTTCTCTCTCTTATTCTCTATCGCTTGTTCACTCGCACTCGCTGCTCTTTGCATCTTCAGCGCGCTCGTAACGCCTCTGATGTCGGAAAAACAAGAAGCACAAATCCCCTCTCCTCGGCGGTCTAGCGTTTCTTTCTTACTTTCTTACTGAATCGTAATTTCTGTGATTCATACTTTAATCTTAAAATATCTCCACTTAGAGACAACGTACACAAAAAGCACAAGAACACTTTTCTTCCTATTTTTTAAGGCTGAATCGACTAAAAAAAGTCGATCGGTTCAGCCATTCCTGAGATATGAATATCTCACCTCGTTTCAACTCGCTGTTTCGCGTAATAATAGGCACTACCGTGCCTCTTGATATACGTATGACTGATGATGAAAAATAGTTTTATTATATTTGAATTATAGTCTAAAACACTTCTAATATTATATAGATACATACTTTGTCATCAAAAGAAGTCTGAAACAATGTTGAATGAACAAGTGCAAGAAACGATATCAAACCCATCTCATGAAATTGAAACTGTTGTACCGCAAGTAATGGTGAGTTGTTGTGATAATGTGCACTATAATGTTGAAATTTATTTCTATCTGAACCTATCTTTTTATATGATAAAAAATAATTTTTGATACATTTATTTAGAACATCACAATTGATAATACTACACGAACTATTGAAGACGTATCAACTTCTGCAGAAATAATATGTACAACGGAAGTAATGAAATCCAGTTCAACAAAAACGCAAGAGAATGTTGCATCTTGCAGTTATTACCCACAAGCAGACGATTCACCGAGAGAAATACATTTAAAACGGAAAATTCGAGAAATGGCGGACAAAGAAAAATTACTTACAAAACGCGTCTTATGATTGCAACAATTAAATTTTCGACAGAAACATCGAATTAAAAATTTGACATCCATTGTAAAAAATTTAAAAAATAATGGCATGATCAGCGCGGAAGAAATACTGATAAATGGTTTCGGTTGTCATAAAAATCTATTTTCTAGTCTTTTTACAAAAAGGCACAAGAACACAAAGAAATATAACGAAATTATTCGTAAGTTTGTTATAACTTTACATTATTTTTCGCCAAGAGCATATAATTATGTCAGAAATACTTTGAAAGGTTCTTTACCTCATGAAAAACCTTAGCCAAATGGTATAAAACCATTAATGCAGAACCTGGATTTACGTCCGAATGCTTTGATATGTTAAAAAAAAGACGAATATATAGAAAAAAATATTCTTTGTTCTCTTGTGATAGATGAGATAAGTATACGTTAGCATGTCGAATGGGTAAATGATAAAGTTTATGGGCTTGTAAATATTGGGAATAATATCGATGATGAAAGAATAGGTTACGCAAGAGAAGCTTTCGTGTTCATGTTAGTGGCTATAAATGAATCTTGGAAAGTTCCATTGGGGTATTTCTTTGTAAATAGTTTGGGCAGCGAAAAAAAGCGTATTTGATAAATCATTGTCTGCAATTACTACACGACTGTCGGATTACAGTTACGAACATTACTTTTGACTGTTGTCCTACAAATTTAACTATGGCAAGAATTCTTGGATGTACACTTGACTTTAAATATTTTAAGTCAGATCACAGTGCTAAAAAATATGTGCTTACTTTACAGACAAAAATAAAAAAATATAAATCCTACATTTATTTTTCCGGATCCTTCACATATAATAAAATTAATACGCAATACTTTTGCAGAAAAAGAAATCCTGTTAGATTCCAATAATGAGGAAATTAATTTTCATTATGTTAAAAAATTTAATGAACTGCAGGAATAAGAAGAATTGAACTTATGTAATAAACTAAATAGACGCCATTTAAGCGACTTCTTTAAGCAAAAAATGAAGGTGAAATTGGCTACTCAATTATTAAGTAAATCTGTTGCGGAAGCTTTAACATTTTGTTCCACAACATTAAAATTGGAAAATTTTATTAATACTGGTCTTAATTAAATTTATTACAATAATGAATGATGCTTTCGATATTCTAAATTCCAGGAAATTTTCTGATTATAATTACAAACAAGCATTGTGCGAGAAAAATATTGAAAAGTTAAAAGAATTTTTTGCATTTCTAACTGATTATATATGTACATTAAAAGACCGCAATGGAACTTTCATTTTAAAGTCTAACAGAAAGACAGAGCTTTTATGCGTGTTAGCGTCTATGAAAAGTTTGCTTTGCATGTATGAATCGTTTCTGCATGAAAACATTTATACTAGCATACAAATTGTCACAAGATCATCTAGACTTATTTTTTGGGTCCATTAGATCTTGCGGTGGATATAATAACAATCCAACTTGTAGACAATTCATTTCTGCTTACAAAAAAATATTAATTTATGCTGAAATTCGAGAACACGGAATGGGCAATTGTATACTCTTGCAACATATGAACATCTTAAAGTGTAGCTCTACATGGAATAGGAAAACGGATGATACTAACAAACACGTTTTAACTGAAAAATTAATAGATTTAGAAGAAAACATAAATTTCGACCATGACTATGTATATCATACTAATTTATTGCAATATTCGAAATAAATTGTCATTTATATTAGTGGTTTTATTGCGAAAAAATTAGTTTCTACAATTAAGTGCGCAGATTGTTCCTCGGCGATTGTCGGTACTAAAGATAACTTAGAAAATACGTTTTTAGAATTTAAAAATAAGGGAGGTTTAACGTACGTTTCCTAGCGATGACTTAATACGTATTTGTATGGATTGTGAAGTAATGCTACGTACTTATTCATCTTATGAGCTTTATACAGCATCTATAAAAAAGCAATTAGAACAAAATATTTTACGTCAATTCCTTAATAAAGAAATATTTTTAGAATTATTTATTATTCATGAGCAACAAAGTATTGAAGAGCATGTGATTAATTTAATTACGATAACTATTGCGGAATATTATAAATTACGTGTGCATTATATTTGTAAACGTGCAATTAATGAAACTAACCAAAGTTATGTTAGATCATTTTATAACAAATTAATATTGTTTAAGGGGCAATAAATACTTATTAAAATAATTTAATCAGTTTTATTTTGCTTTAGAACATATAATATGCAATTGGACGTACAGCGGGATAGACATGAGGAAATTCTCAATGTATCTTGATAATAATAAGAAAAGTAGGATCATCACTGAAAATTGAATTATGCCGTACAGAAAATACGCAATTGCTTCTGCCATTCAACTTCATCATGTATTTTGCATAATATGTCTTAATAAACACCAATAGAACATCATAATTTCCCATTAAACAATCTAACTACAATGTAACACACCTGTTACATTGCATTTATATTGAGTGAAAAATTATAACATTAGTATTATTCAGTTGTCTATAAAACAAATTTATATTATATATATTTCCTTATTAAAATATATATATTTTTACAATTTATTTATAATCTATATATATATATATTTATAATTTTTTGTAATTTATTACATTAATATTATTACTATTTAATATTACCCAATACCTAATAAATACCTAAACGTGTGCGTAAACATATTTGTAACAAACATATGTTACATTAATTATTCCTATTCTTTCATTATACAAAAGCTGTAAGTATAAAATGAAATTCCCGAGTTATTAAATTTTCTTATAAGAGTTAAAAATTTATAGTAAAAGATATATTTATAGCATTCAATGTCGTATCTTTATTTAAGCATGCACATTTTGTAAATATATATGTCAGCGTGCACGCATATACACATATTTACATAATTATAAACAAAATTTTAAAGTTTTTTCCTATTATAAATTTGACAAAATTCATAATCGTACAATAAGCATATATCAAAAACTTCTTTCACATTATTGTATGTTTTACATTTCTAAACAAAGTTATATTCTTTTATTCAAAGTATACTCTGTTGCTTTGCTTCCGGTAATGTCTACTATGACGTAGTTATACGTCACAAAACTACACCTACTTCGATTATCGATATTTCACCATATATCGCAAAATGCTCCTTCCTTATATTCTTTATTCAATGGGTGAGATCCACAGACTTCTATAGTATAAGTAGACTGCTAACTCCGACTCAATACATGACCCCGAAAAGTATCCACCGTCAGAGAGTAGAAGGAGAGGAGTCACGGGCCGCTTTTAGCCGAGCCTAGAGACCCTCTAATAAGAGTCTGGACCACAGATTTCTATATAATACACTAGACTGCTAACGGCCATCACACACAAATGAACGTAAGTGTAACGTCCCTCCAAATTAAAATTCCCTATCTTCTCGCCAAAACTCACCATACTTTTTCTTATCCAATCAAATCTTTATCTATCATCGACTAATCCAACTGCAGCGCCTCCTACAAACACTTCTGCAATCAACAAGTACCTCTGCCGTCTTTTATTGTTAATACAATATAATATCATTACTAATCGCAACTATTTACTGAATTATCTATCTTTTTCTTTCTCTCTTTTCTACTTTCTTGCTTCGTTTAGTAAGCGATAGATTACCAAACAATTAAATAACATAAAAATAATACTAAATAGCATACCTTGAAATAAAATTAACATTAACATAGGACTGAAGCAGACATCGATATAGTAAATACTTAAAATAGGAAAAGAGAGAATAAGAAAATTTAAGGAATAAATTTATAGCTAGCTTATACACTCAAACGCAAAAAACCCAGTACACTAAAAATTTGGGAAAAAATTACAAAATTTCAAATGATCATAACTTGGTAAATAATGAAGATACAAATATGCGCAGAAATGCAAAATGAAGCTTGAAACGTCCTCTTTAAGAATATCTGAATGGCAATTATGCTCGGCCATTTTTTTCAAAATGGCGGATGATAAAGTGAGAGGATGCAAAATTGATAATCAAAGATCCGTGTTTGCGATGTCCGAGCTCGATGTGATCATTTTTCACTGAGTTGTTCCAAATTTTGCTAAAAATGCGGTTTTCTTGTTAAATTTGCATAATTCAGTGAATAAGTATCGCATCAAGCTCTATAACGAAGTATTTTAAAGAAAACATTCTATACTTTTAGGTACTTTTCGTCCCATTGAACTGCGACACTTACTTTGCTCCATGCGCCGTCGCACGCTCGAACCTTTTTTTAGCAACTTTTCATGTTCTCCTTTTTATCACCCGCCATTTTGAAAAAATATCGTTGCGCACAATTTCGATAGATCTTTCGAAAAGTACGGTTTCAAAGCTTTCAAACCGTTTTTGAAATTTGCTACTAGGATATTTAGGTGTCGAGATATTCAATTTCGAATTTGCAACAAATGTCGATTCAGCGACATCCCGGCCCCAGGGCTCTCTGGGAGCCCCACGCACAAGTACCGCGCCCCTCCCACTAAGGGAGTCAAGGGCGCGGTGCCCCGGTCGGTTGCCCGACCGGGTTGGCTTTCTGGTCTAAATTATGGAGCGAGGAGACACCCTTCCTCCCTCCTCGTCCCCCCTTCCCACTTCCCTACTGGGTGGGTAGGGGGGCAGGGGAGTGGGGCCCAGCCCTAACCGGGCCTCCACTCCTCTTCTCCATTCTATTACTGACGCGCACGGTGTGGATGGGCGGGTGGATTAAGTCCGCCTCTTTTGAAATTGTGCGATAAGCCCGGATTGCACTCACGACCACCGACTGCATGGCTTGGCGCAAAAGCCTTTTGCAGCGGTCGGAGGCCATAAGTCGGGGCGCCCATATGGGCGCACCGTAGAGGGCGATCGAGAACACCGCACCGATATAGAGGCGGCGAGCGTGCTATCCGGGGGCCTCCCTGGGTCCTCATCAGGCCGGCCAGAGCCAGTCCTGCTTTCCGGACCGGGGGGGCCAGGCCCTTGAAATGGGTCCCAAAATTCCACCAGCGTCAGGCCCAGATATTTAATTGTGAGCCCGACGCAGACGTTGACTCCGTCCACCGGGACCCAGGACTCCGGTGGCGCCCCACGACTGCTGTAATGAGAAGACAGCTTCCGCCTTCTGGGGTGACACCTTCAGCCGCAGGTCTCGAATGGCGCCCACCACGAATTCCAGTGCCGGCTCCACTCGGAGGCGGGCTTCCCTTCAGTCCCCCCGGCCACTACTAACGTGTCATCTGCATAGCAGATGACGTGGCAGCCAGGAGAAAGGGGAGAGCGAAGTATCCGGTCGAACGTGATATAGAGGACACCCCATAGCAGGGGACCGAGGACGCCAACCCTGGACTCCGCCTGTCCCCGAGTAGACGAGGTTCCTGTCCTTGAAGTAGGCCGCGAGGATACGCTGGAGATAGACAGGCATCCCGTGATCGAGAGCCCGTTTAATTTTCGGCCAGGGCAGGGTGTTGAACGCATTCTTAATGTCCAAAAACATTGCGAGCAGCACCCCGCCTCCCTCCTCCACGACCGT